CGGCGATGTTGAAAAAAAGTTTCGGGGAAGCCTCGCTGATCAAAACGTAAGGGGTGGTTTTCTGCGTGATCGATCCAGGCCTAACTGACCTTGGAATCTCACATCGACAGCAGCATGTTCACGTAGCATCTGGACAGGCTAATGCAAGTTTGACGTTCATTCAATCCTTTCTCATTTGGTATCATGGCCTGATGACCTGTCTAAATCCATGCAACCCATCACATCGTGAACCCTATATCCGCCCTTCCATCCCTCCCAAACTCCGTGTCATGCCGACGTGCGACCGAATCGATGCAGCGGAAGGTGGATTGTGCGAGACAAGTCGTGTGTTGATGGGCATCGTGCTCGCGAGTGAGGCACGTTTACTGCTCGGTCTGGAAGTAGTTGAGGAGGATGCTGCGCTCCTGGGACTCCTCGCCCCAGTCCTTGACGACGACGCAAGAGCAGTTGACGACCTTGCGGGGGTTACCCTCACGGTCGATCTGGCCTGTAGATGTTGTTAGTCGTTGTTCAATCTTGACAGTGGATGGTATCGCGCGCAAAGTTTTTCAATCTTCAGCACTCCACCACGGGATAAAACGTACAGAGACCGGCCCACTCGCCGAGCTGCTTGCCATCGGGAACCTTGATGAGGGGGATCTTGTGCTCGGAGCACAGGGCAACGACGAGCTTCTTGTATGCCTCCTCCTCGCAGGCCTCGTTGAGAACGCACATGTGCGCCTCACGACGGTCGAGGGCCTTGGAGGCCTCGCGCAGACCGCGGGCAAGTCCGTCGTGGATGAGGGAGAGCTTGAGGACACCCTTGAGAGCCTCAAGGACGCTCATCTGGCCCTTGCCACCGGATGCATCGGCAGAGACCTCGACCTCGGCGGCCGCGCTGACTTGGGATTTGGTATCGTCTTCTCCGTCCGACTGTTGGCGACGTCAGTGATATTCTGGGAGTGTAAAGCGCGGGGTTGCGGTGCTGAGCGCTGTGCCATTCTCGTTGCGCCACGGACAGCTCAGATCGCAGCTGGGACAAAATTCCACATACCATGATTGATGATTTCTATCTGTCGACTTTCCTCGAAGAGAGTTGGTTGTGGTGATAAGGAAGTTCGAAGTTCTGCGGCGGCTCGAATTTCGCACTCTGTGGAGACGCTAGCCTGAAGAGATGCTAGCGCACGGACAAGCTACCTAGGTAACCAGCACCAGAAGATGGTGAAAGTCATGTTGCTTCCAGTCTACAAAGGAGTGATTATCAGAATTAGGTTGTATATTACAGAAGGTGCACTCACTTCACTTAGGTACAGTGAAGGCTAATGAGCAAATGGCCTTGTAGGAGTTCAACTTACCACAAAGCGTTCCCTCATCCAGATCAGAAGCGAGGCTACGTCACTCTCCTGCCGAGATGATAATTCACGAAAAGAGGTTGAGCACATTCACAGTTTCGAACAATTGATATCATTGTATGTCTGTACATTCTACTACCACGACACAGTTCCATCGCTGCTGCTTGGACCTGCCGTAGCCATGTCTCCTCCAAACATTTCTCATCCTCCTACTGAGGCCATTGCTAGCCATGGACATGTATGTCCCATCTCTGTATACGATAAACTAAGGAAATACGGGCGGTCGGCCGATCGGATATGCTCATGGATGTAAAAGTATCCCAAGTCAGATAAATGAATACAAACGCCAGACGCACAGACTGTACGGAGGGTTTAGAAAGATAGCAAGTGGTAACACGAGAATGATCGCTGAACGCTATCAGCCCAGGCGTGTAACGAGTTGAATGTAGAGAGGAATGTAGCCACCAAGCCAAAGACTGTGCTCCAGTAACGCCGTACAATGAAGGAAACCTGTCTTTGAACGCAGTTGGTGTAAGTAAGGAATGAAATGGGTATATAAAGCAATGAAAGCTACATGACGATGCAGCAGCAGCCCTTCTTCTCCTTGAGCTCCTCCTTCGGCTCCGGCAGGCGAGTCACCTCAGGCTTTGGCTCGGCCGGGGCGATAGGAGGAGCCAGCTTTGGCGAAGGAGCACGCTCGGCACCTTGAGGTATTTTCGGTGTCAGGCTGTAGCCGCCTTCGTTGACCGGGGATTTGGCGGTGTTTGTGTCAACCTTCTCAAGCGATGCGGGTGAGTCCGGCTTTGTCGGGCTGGGAAGTGGCCAGGTCTCAGCCTCTCGGGCTTTCTCGATGGCGATGGGGTCAAGGTTGGCGAGCTGTGAGAGTCGCTTATCCCCCATGTCGTCGTCGTTCAACAACCGGAAGTCTTTGTCATACATGGAACCAACCCTCCCTTGGTTCTCCCATTGTTCTTGCTGCATCCGCTTGGCATGGGTTGGGATAATCTGCTGGTCTGGAGGCAGACGCGGATCGGGCTTATACATGGACGCTATCCATGGAGCCTCACCTTCTGGTCGGTGGCTAGTGGTAGGCCTAGTATTGGTAGACCCGCCACTGGTACGGGGACGGTTTGGAGGCGAGTTGTTGGAGGTTACCCGGGACCGAGGCTGTGTCTTCTGGGCACTGGCTTTGCGTGCTCCAGTAGCGTTCGTTTTGCCAGGCGTCTTGGCTTTCATAGGTGACTTCTGGGGCGATTTAGGCGGACTCCAGCTGCCAGTAGAGGTATTGCGCCTGTGGCTGCCATATGGAGGCGTCGTCTGCCGACCGTCGTCGACATCATCGAGCAATGCTTGGCTGCCTACACTGCCGCTCCGTACGCGTGCACCCATGGTAGCGATCGCGTCGCCGTTCCAGTTTCCACTGTTGCCTCTAGACCTTGGCAGCGGCGCATCACGTTCTGCCATTGAAGCAGGCACAGGTATACCGCTCGTCTTGGGCAGAGGAATGCGAGACGTACTAGGCCTCACAGTGTGGTTTGTTCGCTGAGAAGATGGCTGGAACTCGGTTGTGCCGTCGGCCCCCGGGCTCCAAGCATGATATTCCTCCGTCGCATCCTCATCTTCAGCTGGTATCGTGGATATGCGTTTGCGGGGCTCGGTTCGCTCTTCGCCGTTCTGCGTGTGGTCCGTGGATGCAGAGTTTGTCCGGTCTCGCGCACGTCGCGTGGCGCTTTGCGAGCGACTGTTCGACCTGCTCGACCGTCCCACCCTGAAGCCTGCCTCCTCTAGTTCCCGAGTCTCAATCTCCTTAAGCTTGTCTCGGTGTATCCAGTGGTTTGCGTCATACTCGGGCTCTGTTGCACCGGGCTTGGTCGTCTTCTTCTTGGGCTTTCCCTTGACGGAAACGGGGCCCTTTTTGTTGGTGGTGTGGCTCTTGTAGTACTCCAACACACTGTCCTGGTCGACATTGCTGGCAATCATGTCTCCACTTTTCTTCTTATGCAGTTCGTTCATGCGGTCAGGGACCAACTGTGGGCGGTTCTGGTCCTGTGAGTCCCACGTGGGCGAGCGTACGGGCTTGACGAATCCGTTGGCTTGCGAAGTGAGGGGCTGTCGAGAACCGTGGGCGGGAGCACCGTATTCAGACATGTAGGGCTCCTGGTCGTATGACTGTCTCTGCACAATGGTCAGCACGCTACTACTCGCACATTGACATCACTGTAGGCAGGCCTTGAAATTGCACTGTGAGTGGGCGAACTTGGCGGTCAGATGCGCCATGGGGAGGGCCGCAGTAGTGCACCTAGTGTCCCAGCGGAGTCGTGCCGGACCCAGATGACGCAGCTTTACAGAGACTAAACTTGGTACGTACCGAATCGTTCACAGGCACGGCAAAGTCCCACGATCCTCCTGCGCCGTGGGAACTACTGGGGGGCGTGAGTTGCTGGAGTGAAGCTGGCGTATGGCGGGATGACGCGAAAGTAGCCATGGACGGGGCTGCGAGGTGGCTGGGGACCAACCGATGACGTGCCGGAGACTATGAGGCGGTAGACAACGGCGGCGTAGGCGTACGAGACAGTCGACGTCGGGTGACGACGCAACCAGGAGTGTCGAGGGCGGAGAAGGGGCGATGCCGGGCAGAGACCGCGGCCGCTGGCAGACTGCGGTGTACAAGTAGCCTCACGGTAGCAAGGTCCCTATTATAACGCTGTAGCTATAAAAACAATGCCATGGGCGAGAAGGAGGCAAGACGTCGGTGTGGGGACTCTGGTCGGAAGTTGTGAGGGGTGGTTTGCATGCGCGTGCAAGCAACTTCCCTGTCTGGTGAGGGTGTGGTGCTGGCGCGTGCGATCAGAAGGGAAGTGAAGGAGAATTACAACGAGAGACAAGCAAATATTAGCGATCGGAAACGCCGCCGCGCACGATGAGTCCAGCCACGGCAGTGACAATGATTCGTGAGAGAGTCGCGACGGGATGCAGGAGCCCTTGAGAGGAGGATTTGGGAGCGTTGCTCGCCTTGCTGGGGAAGATGGTGATTCGCCCTTGGCTGCAGCCCGCTCGGGCCTCGTCTAATCTGCGCCGCGGCCAAAGAGGAATGGCTACATCATGGGTCCAACTCCTTAAACGCAGATGGCCTTGCTACACGCGCATGCAAAAAGCACTGAGTACCTGCATGTAGTTCGCGATTCTAGACATGCAGAGTCTTTTTGCTGTTTGACGACGTCTCCATCGCCGACTCCCAAACACCTACAGCGGACACCACGCGCCGGGTAAACACTCGCAGGCACCCATGAACCCAGTTTGATTGTTTCCCTGTTATGCACACAGCCTGAACAGTGCACAACTGTCTTGACAAGCTTCCGTCTCCCTGCGCCTTTCCCGTTCCTGACAAGATAGCCTCCGGCAACGGCCCACAGTCCGCCGTCATGGAGATCGGGCGTGGTCCAGAGGCGGTCAGCGGTTTAGAATTCGATCTAACGGCTAGCCCGAGGTATTCATCGAATGTCCAAACCTTCGCACGAGAAGATTGTGGTGTAAGTTGGAGATCCCGGTTTGCGGGAAGAGGCTTGATCGATGCGACCCACTGTCAATACCCAACTGCCGGGTTGACGGCAGGAGCAAGGCTGATGAGCAGCTCAGATCTCATAAATGCGCCTGCTATGAACTTGTCCATCACCAGCCGAACGTCTCGTCGTACCAAAACACGTCGTGTCCCTTCTTAACCCAAATCTCAACGCTTCTCTTGAGATCGTCCGTCAGCCTCTTCGGCCCGCAGCAGATTACCGCCGTTTTCATACCCTTGCTAAACACCTCATCGACAACGTTACTTAGATCCGGCCTTCCGCTTCTGACAAGCATCCCCTTTCGCGGCTTCTCCATCTGCTCCTCCATGCTCAGCAGCTGCTCGTTCTCTTGCATCTCAATCCCCTCCCCGTCCTCGTCGTCGTCAATAGCGAACACGCCAGCCGCGCTCGCGTCGACTTGCAGGTTGGGTCCCGAAGGTCGTGTAACGTAGACCTCGACAATCTGCGGCCCTTGCAATAAACCACCCTCGTTCGCATCGGCCGCTGCGTCATCTTCGTGCTCGTCATTGGGTGCGGAACTTGCAGGGAATGCCCACTGCGTTTCAGCCAGCTTCTGAACCGCCCAAATGCACCGGATCTGGGTACCTGCAGGTGTGGGGTCGTGCAAGTCGATGATGCTGCGATAGATGGGCATGATGAACGTTGCACCAACCCCGCCAGCTACCAAAAGTATTTTGTCAAAGTCTGATAAATCAGGTAGTCGGTTGGAGGCTCCGTATGGTCCTTCGAGGGAGAAAGGCAGGATGGGAATGTCACCACCAGCTGTAGGTAGCATGGGCACATTGCTTCCCCCCTGTGACAAAGAGCGCGCCAGTTCTCCCAGATACTTGGTGTTGCCGTTGAGCGTTCTTGCAATGAGAAGTAGTTCCTTGTCTTTTGACGGGAGGGAAGCAACCGTGAAGGGGTTCGTCTTATTCGTCATAAGCCATTGGTCGTACCACGTAGGAGCTTTCCCCCTGATATGCGGTCTGCTGAGGTACACATGCTGGCCAGGCTTCCAAGTAAGCGCGGCGCTTTCTGCCGGCAGCGGGATGCGGACCTGGACGAGATTGGTGCCTGGCAGAAGTCTGAGAGTACCTTGGTACATCTTCAGACATACAGCTCGGGAAATGACATGTAATGCCTCTACCGCAAGAATCTCATACACGTAGATGCGGATATGAGATACGTGCAGATACAGGGGCACGACGATGAAATTTGCAATAGCGATATGAGAGATGTAGAACACTCGATAGTTCTTGCGGCGTATGAATCCGAGGGCAGTCGTGGAGATGGTGGTGAAGAGGATGATGCTCACAAGGCCCCAAATGACGTCCCAGTCCTTAATGCGCTTTGCTAGAAACCCTGATAGAACAAAGAAGTTCAAATACAGGGCCGTATGCATTAGGAAAAGCAGGAATGTGATGCGTCCCAGGATCTGATGCGAGGCCTTGATTTGCTCGTGGGAAAGCCGTGTCAGCCATTGCACAGGACTCCATGGTGCTCGCACTGCCAGTAAGTAGTGAATTGGTAGCTGCGACGCGCCAACTTGTCCGAAACGCTTGGTGAGATGGAGGTAGTCTACATATTGTCAGTAGTAGACGCGAACGTCGGAGATCTTCAGTCCATACCGTTCCCGGTGTGAGCAATGCAAAGATACAGCAACCACACTGTCCAGACGCTGGCTCCGATCCATTCTCCTCTTGTGCCCCAGTTCCAGCCCCGAATGACATCCTTTCGCATCCACCAGCTCATCCTGCTACATCCGGTCTGTATGCTTCGCAGCCATCCGAGCCTGTCCTTTGGCCGTTTGGTGAATGACGGTGATTTGGGCTGATCAATCTTCAACCCGGTTTTCATCACCCACGAAAAGGCGAAGCCAATCTGAAAGAGCGCAAATATGACCAGGACGGACCATTGTGCGACGAATCCATACCATTCCAGATATTCCCGGCGTTGATGTTTCTGCTCGTCGTTCAGGCTTTCAAAGTAGTACCCAAGTGCCCAGTATTGATCTGTCTTGACCTCATGGTGGCCTTTATGACGCCGAAAGAGGTCCATTTCAAAGCCCCTTCTGGACTATCAATGCTGCGTATCGCGGATAAGAATAACCCTTGCAGTAGCTAAGCTTCTCAGCGTACAAGTCCTCATCAAGAGGATCGAAAAGGTTTGCCTGCAGCGCAGATTATAGAACGAATGCGTAGCGACCGAAGGAAACAAGGCCAAGTGTTGGACGGTGATGTTGAGGAGTTGTGTTGTATACGTGTGCTTGTAACGGTGCAAGACTTGGATTCGGACTTTGCTGATGCAGGGCTGACGGCGCCAGTGATGCCAGCCAATCGAAACGTGCTCAAAGCACGAGCTGAACACGTTCCTTCTGCCGTCGCTCGCTTGTTCGACGCGTCGGTGAACACAGTCTTGTAGAATGAGAGTCGAGCATCGACGAGAATGGGCGTAAATAGAGATGCGCGTTCCTGGGTCCTCAGCCAGTAGCGGTGCAGCAACCCCACCAAGCATCCCGCCTGCAACCCTGCATGTGCATGCAGTGCATGTGGTACGTATCTGCAGTTGAAGCTGCATCTAAATAGACACACAACTGGTAGACTCATATAGAACTATGAGCAACCCTTCTTCCAAGACCCCGATCTGGCTCGACTGCGTGTGTATCCGTTCGCGCTTTCCTTATTTGTAGTGCTGACCAAGGAAGGATACTGGGCATGATGTGAGTCTCGGATAAGCTCTCCCCCACACGCTGCTCATCACCACCCCAGGATGCCTACGCCCTCCTTCTCTGCGCACACGACCCCAAAGTCGAGCTGCTTGGTGTGAGCACAGTCCATGGCAATGCTGCGCTCGACCAAACCACGTACAACACCAGGGCAATCCTCGAGGCAATCGGAAGGCGCGACGTGAAGGTCTACTCGGGCGCTGCGAAGCCAATCATACGCGATGCTGTACACGCCGCTGATATTCATGGTAACGCGACCCCATCCACTCCTCATGAGTACGCGCTGACACGAACAGGCGAGTCTGGCCTAGACGGCGTGACGCTGCTCCCCAAACCCGTCGAACCAGCAGCTACCGATGTCGACCACCTCGAAGCCATGTACCGAGCGCTCATCGCTACACCCCCGAATACAGCTTGGCTGGTCTCTACGGGCACATTGACCAACATTGGTCTGCTATTCCAGAAGTACACAGATCTAGCGGCTCATCTCAGAGGCCTCAGTATAATGGGAGGTGCGGTCGGTGGCGGCTTCACGGATGCGCCAATGGGTACAGTTGAAGGAGAAGGTGAACGATTTGGCAATTGGACGCCTTATGCTGAGTTCAACGTATGCTGCCATCTACGTGCATGGTGTGGTTCGACAAGGCTAACAACTCGCACAGATATACGTAAAGATATCGATCCTTCGCATGCCTAGAAAATGCTGACAACAACAGTGTGACCCCGAAGCATCTCACTTCATCTTCTCGCACCCCGTTCTCAAATCAAAGACGACGCTGATCCCTCTCGACCTGACGCATCAAGTCCTCGGTACGAAGAAAGTCCGCCAAACACAGCTATATGGAGAAGAGATATGGGATCAGTCAGTCTCGAAGAGTGACTACACACCCTCAGCTATGCGGGCCTTGTTCACCCAGATCATGTCCTTCTTCGCTGGCACGTACGCCGAAGTGTTCTCCATAACCGAAGGACCGCCGTTACACGATCCTCTTGCTGTAGCGGCAGCCTACAATCCTAGCATATTCGACGACAAAGGTGGCGAACGCTTCCAAGTGGATATAGTCACGGAAGGCCTTCACTCGACAGACAAGTCAAAAGTTGGTGAACTTGGTAGAACAAAGGTCACCAAGCTACCGACCGGGCAAGGTGGCTGTCGTATACCTAGAGGCGTTAATCTCGATGACTTCTGGGGCAGCATCGAAAGTGCACTCAAACGTGCAGATGCCGTCAGCCCCATGCCAAAGATTTCTGAGAAAGAATTAGAGGAGGCCGGTGTTTTCAATGGAGTTGGAAAACTACAACGATGAGCGCCTAAGCGCACCGCCGCGTAAGATTATGGTAGTACAGGGAAAGTATAGAACGAGACAATATGAACATTCAACTCCAGACACTGCGGGAGTTCGCCGGATAATTCAGCCGTAACCAACGGACTTCCATTTAGCCTGATCTCAACATTCCGCGTACCTTGCAGCGCCGAGCTTGCTAATCGAAGACCACACCTTTTTACGACGGCCTGTACTGATATGACTCCACCAATTGGCGTCGACTGGTTCTTCCCCAGATGCGCACAGGCCGTGTCAGGATCCAACCCAATGGCATACCAAGCTCGTAATGAACACCATGAAATCCCGCGGTTAATCGCATCATGATCCAGACAGCCAGGTCGCCTTTCGCAGTGTTAATACTCTTATGTTCGTGAAAGCCACATCATATCGCAGTACAAAATTAACTTCCGACGTTACGTCGAGTTCTGCAGAAGAAGTCTGGCTACAACAGCGCCAGTAGAAATCTTCAATGGGTATGATGGTATACGAGCAGTGAAGATACCAAGCCCGGGTCTTGACAGACCGTCTCGGAATCGGACCGCATGCTGAGCTGTATAGAGCAATATGGCAATCTCGAATGCGGGGAACACCCGAAGAAGATGTGATGTGCACTTCACTTCCGTATAACATATGCTACGCCTCCCACCTGTAGGCTCACTATCACCGCGAAGATGAAGTCCTCCGTTTTCCAGCTGCTCCTTCCGCTTGTGCTCGCCTCTCCAACACCGGCCCCCATATATGCACACCCCAAACAGGGTTCCCATCCCAAACCTGCTCCAGGTCTCGGCGATCTCGCAAAGAAAGCTGGACTAAAGTACTTTGGCACCGCCATCGACAACGTCGTCCTCGATAATGACGAGTACACCTCGATAGCCTTCAACCGCTCCGAATTCAACCAAGTCACCCCATCCAACGGCCAAAAATGGATACACACAGAGCCCCAACGCAACGTCTTCAACTGGACGCTCGGCGACGAGATCGTTGACCCGAGCAAAGATGCGCACCAAATGCGGCGCTGCCATACCTTCCTCTGGCACCAGCAACTCCCCGACTGGGTGAACAACGGCAACTGGACCAAAAATAGTCTTCTCTCCGTCCTAGAAACACACATAAAAACGGTCGCAGACTACTACTGGAACGACTGCTACGCCTGGGATGTTGTAAACGAAGCATTCGAAGACGATGGCACGCTGCGCAAGTCCATCTGGCTCGATATCATCGGCCCAGAGTACATTGAACATACGTTCCGTCTTGCCAGAAAGTACACAAGTCCAGGCACGAAACTATACTACAACGACTACGGCATTGAGAGGGTGAACAACAAGAGTCTGGCTGTTGCACGCATGATCAGCGAGTATCAACGGGCTGATGTGCCGATTGATGGTGTAGGACTACAGGCGCATTTCACCGTAGGCAGAGCGCCGACTTATGATGATGTTCGGGCTTCGCAGCAGCTATTCTCCGCGTTGGGTCTGGAGACGGCGTTGACGGAGTTGGATGTTCGGATCGGGCTGCCCGACAATGCGAACAAGACGGCTGCGCAGGCGGCCATCTATGCGGACTCCGTGCGTGCGTGTGTTGATGAGGAGAGCTGTGTTGGAGTCACCGTTTGGGACTTTTGGGATCCGGTTAGTTGGGTGCCGGAGTCTTTCCCGGGTAATGGGAATGCTTGCTTGTGGGATGAGAACCTGGAGAGGAAGCCGGCGTATTATGCTATTGCTGATATGTTGAAGGAGGCGGCGGCGAAGAGGGCATGAGCTGGGAGACATCGGGCATAGAGTTTGAGAAGGTGTGCATTCTAGACTCATCATCACAGCAGTGTTCTGTCTTGCGGAATGTTGCGGGTTCTATTTTACATGCCGCATCCTTACATGTCCATGGGCTTCTTTGACAAGTAGGATTTTGCCTGGGCGCTGCAAGGAATGCGCAGCATGCCACGTGGATTCTCAACAAATATACCTCTATCAACCCTTGCATATCAGTATGGTGAACTCATTGAATATAGAGTGAGGCAAATTCCATGCTTGTGTAGCTTGAGCTGACGCAAAAAAAAAATGAGCCTTGCAATATGGTAAAAGCTAGGAAATAGCCATGTATTTTCATTGAGTTCTCATTGCATTTGGATGTCATCTGCATTGGTTTGGCGGGTTGTAGGACAGCGTTAAAACAATCTGAAAACCTAGTCTCAACGCGATCATCGATGAACTGCTGGTAACGAAGATAGTCGTGGAGGAGAAGGTACCTGTTGGGGCTTGGCGACTGAGAATCAAGAATTCCGCTCTGCCGTACTCTTGGTGTTCGTGCGGGACGAGAACGCGGATGCATCGGCAGACAGGCACAGTGCCTGATGGGTGCTAAGACCTGTCTCCTATCTTCCAAGGCCCTCCGCTGATCTTGGATGACGGCGCAGAGGCGTGGCGTCCGTCATGGTGCAGATAGGAGACACGTGTGGCGGTGCAGTGGCTTGCTGGTTCGTCAACTGCGACGCGCATTCTGGCTGCTCAGGTAGGGTGTTGCAGGCAACTGATTGCATGCATCATACTTGATGTGTGTACACGCGTCTCCTGCTTGGTAGATGCAAGATGTTACAGAGAGATCGGAACTAAGTCATTCGAGGCGGTGATGTGTATGTGGTTAGATGCGCTGGTTCATTAGAAACGAAGAAGGCCCGGTCTCGACGTACCACCGAGAGTACTGACATGCACGAAGAACCCAGCTTTCCTGGTTCGGATTCAATCAAGTAAAAGCTACGTCGAAGAACGTAGACGTATGCAGTTCCCGTTTCGTTCCAGATGCACCTCGTGAGTTCGATGCAGCAACGTCTCATGCAAGATCTGCCGAACTTAGAATTGGTATGCTAAGACATGATACAAGCCATGCAGGCGTTCGCAGTTCGCGCGATGGCTGTCATGCCCCTGAAGTACGGAGATCGAAATCCGGCTATGTTTGGAAAGAAGAAATGTATGAGCCGCTAATAGAACGTAAAATACCGCAAGGCTGCTCTGGTCAGCCTCCTGGGACCGGTGCGACTTACTATGAGCGAACTACGCACGCGGTAGGTGTGATTGCTCCGCAAGGCCATACCTCCTGCCTCGTAAGCGTGCATAGCCTCAATGTGATAATCGCTCAATTCTTGGCCTACTTGCTGGGCACTTGGCGAAGAGCCAAGAGTGGAAACGTGGATGCGTGGACATCCCGCCCAAAGCTGGCGACCGTTTGAGACATGGAAACCCGGAGCCATTCAGGGGACCTTTTCGAGGGCCTCAACGTGTTGGAAGTGTACTATATGCTCAGGGAATGTCAAGGGGAGGTGGTTGCGACAGAGTTCATCTACATACGGCCGGCGCGACTCCAAGGTTGACAGGCTGGTATATTGACATTTGCGCCGAAGATCGAGATCATGTTGAATGACTCTACAGGCGTGTACATGATCTGGTGTGCCGTAAACATCTCGTTGAGATGAGGGGCATTTGGCAAGCATCGATGGCCCACTGCATAGAATGCGAGTGCGACAGGCCATTCGCCCGAGCCGGGAAGTCAGCAAGGCATCCGATGGGCAGTCGGGCGGCTCTGTAATCCAAGTAATTCAAGGTATGTGGTATAGCCAGCCAACCAGCCACAGCTGTCGCCACCAGTGATGATGGGATGGCGTGACAGGAGCATGGGATCGCAGCGAAAACTGGAGTAGATTGGATGCCAATACTTCCCGCTGCTGCTCATAAGCCAAGGGCACCAAGAATTCCGCATTTTGATTGCTGTTTCGGTTGTGTCGCTTCTGTGTGAGGGGTCGAGCGTGCGGCAGGGCACCCACCGGCGCGCACAACAACGCCCATGGCTCTGCGTGTGCGTGGTGTCTCTGGATGCGCCAACCAGATACCCCGCGAAAACAGGGAGCGCGTACGTGAATCTGGGTCGCATGTGGTCATTTGCGAGTGACGGATGTCGGCGAAGCCATCGCGTCCGGCCAAGATGAGGGCCAAGGCGCCAGTGAGCACGAGAGTGGGGCGGCTGAGCAGGCAAGGCCGAATCACAGGACGTCTGCGCCCACCCTACACGGACCATGCCTGCCCTGGCCTAGCCCGGCAGTGCCTCGCTCATGGGCCGCGCCAGTTTCTCTTTCTCTGGGCGAATCTTCGCCCGCTCCGTTCCGCTGGTAAAAGCTGCCAACTGCCCCCGAGAACCTCTGGGCGCCCTCTCCTCTGACTTTGCTCCACGACCCCAGACTGCCCCTTCCTTACCGTAGCTTAACTTTGCGATAACTGTCATCGCTCTGCGCGGTTTTGACTCTCTCACCCACATTTCACCCTCACCATTGTTGGTAACTGCCAGCACCTTCGCCAAGACGATGAGCGAGGTTCAGAATACAGTGCCCGCAGCGGCCACGACTCCTCAACAGCAGCCCCAGGGCACCCCCATCCAGCAGAATGCTCCAACGCCCGCCTCAGTCTCTGCAGGCTCGGGCGACCAGCTTACCTGCCAGTGGCAGAACTGCGGCGACCGTCTTCCCTCTGCTGAGCAGCTCTATGTAAGTTCTTCGCCAAGTGTGCTTAGCGACGGCTGCATACCGCGCCGCGACGCGTAGAACACTGCCATTACTCGTCTTTGCAGCTCGCTGACTTGCGTGCAGGACCACGTCTGTGAGCGCCATGTTGGTCGCAAGAGCACCAACAACCTGAATTTGACCTGCCAGTGGGGTAACTGCCGCACCACCACGGTCAAGCGCGACCACATTACTTCCCACATTCGCGTGCACGTGCCGCTGAAGCCGCATAAGTGCGATTTCTGTGGTAAGGCGTTCAAGCGTCCTCAGGATCTGAAGAAGCACGTAAAGACGCACGCCGACGATTCCGTGCTACTCCGCTCCCCAGAGCCCAACCGAGGCGGTCCCCACGGCGCCCAAGGCTACCCGGGCCAAAACGGCAAGCGTAAGTACTCCTCACATGACTTGGTCGATCTCAACTTCGATCCATGTCTGCTACCCAACTTCGATCATCCTCTAACAGAACATGCAGTTGTCGCTGACTTGCAGGCGCTTGCTGCCACAGCGAGTGGATACCAATATCCTGATGGTGCCCTCGGCCCCAACGGAGGTTACGGCCAGCAACACCCAGGTGGTGCCCCAGCCGGATTCTACGGAGGCCCACCCCAGAACTCCGCCTATGGCCCTGTCTACTATGCTGTGAACCAATCGCAACAGCTCAACAACGACTACGAAATCAGGAAGCGCGCCGCGTATGATGCGCTCAACGAGTTCTTCGGAGACGCCAAGCGTCGCGCCATTGACCCAACCACCTACTATGATGTCGGCCAACGGCTCATGGGTCTCCAAGGTGTTCAGCTTCCCGTCCTTGGTGGCGGTGGAGGCGGCTACCAGGGCCAGGGCATGTCTGAGTATGGCCACGGCGGCTCAATGGTTGCTCAAGCACAGCACCCACCCATGCACCACCCCTACTCTCTGCCGCTTCCCAACCTTAGGACCAAGAGCGATCTCTTGAACATTGACCAGTTCTTGGAGCAACTGCAAAGCACCGTCTATGAGAACCCCAACCACGCTGCGGCTGCTGGTGTGGCCCACCCCGGACACTACGTTCCTACCGGCGTTGGCTACCGCTCCAGCAACTCGCCACCTGGCCTTTCGTCTAGCCACTCTCAGTCGTCTCACGCCACTGCCATCGGATCCACCAGCGCTGAGACCCCTGCTCTGACACCAGCATCCAGCGTGCTATCATACGGATCTCAGCACTCTCCCGGTGCGCAGCACTCTAACAACGGTGTTTCTCCCACATCAAGGAGTTCGATTGGTAGCATGTACCCTACTCTACCATCTGTCAGCGCGATGTCAGACATGTCAGCTGCTGCACCATCTTCTGGACTTGCACCAGCGTTTGATTCTGATGGCCGTCGCCGCTTCTCTGGTAACCTCCTCCAGAAAGCCGCTCCGGACCGATCAGAGCACGACTCCATGGATATGTCAAGCGACGGTGCATCGCCCAAGGATCGCCGGGATTCTGAGCAAAACAGTCTTCACCATGACGTTAACCAGTTGGCTATCCACTCGCCCAAGGTTGACCCTGCTCTTCGCTCACCAAGCATTGCGTCGTCAAACAACACAGAACAAGGCGACCAGTCTCAGCAATCCTGGGTTGAGAACATCCGAGTTATCGAGAGGCTCAGGGCGTACCTCAAAGACAGACTCGAGTCGCATGACTTCTCTGACGATGAGGAAGACGTCAAGCACGATCTCGAGCGCCGCATGAGCGACGACGATGCACACAACCTCTACCCCGTACTGCGCGCTGTACAAGAGGGCCGAGAGTAGTGTTTCTCTTCTTGGGCGGGTTCAAGATGCTTTATGGAGTTCAGAAGGGAATGATGGCGTCAAGGAGTTAACCAGGCTTGGTGGCATCATCAGGGACGATGGCCAATAACTGTTTCAATCGGTATAGCGATGTCTTGTTATGTTCTTTCACGGCTGCCGTTAGGGAATAGGCCCTCCGGTAGCATGTTCAGCTTTCCACTTGTTAGTAGCAGTGTGCGAATATCACGATTATTCAAAGTTTCAACTCGAGGATTACATGACATTTATGTGATTGACTGACATTTGAGCAGTCGTCGCGCAACTAATATGCAGACCATGAAGCATGTGTAGAAGATCATCATACCCAAGTCGTCTTTCAAGACGGTGGCATCTGCTTGGCAGCCCGCGTTATCAATTTGCCAAGCTTATGACCAATTCCGACCCCACACTGAATCTAGTAGATCGTCGTTTAGACAAGCCGTTCCCCACGTTCCTATCAATCCAGAACATTGGGCGCGGATTGATATGGGTTCGCATGACCCACTCGGAGCCGCGTACCACATGTGCATGTAGCAACGCCCAACCTCTCCATCCATCTTCCGGGTTTATCATCTCTCTGGTTTAACATTGATAGCTCCTGTGCACCTACGCTCAATACAGCAAACTCCAAATCGAGGCTATAAGCCAATACTGTGAGCATCCGATCACGATGGCGTACGGACGCGGCGGTGCAGGCAATTACTACGCGGCGCAGGAGCAAAGTAAGAAGGTTGCCGAAGTGAGTCTATAATGATCACGCATTCTTAATCCTCTATGTTCTTGGGTATGCTGACCGTCAACACAGGACGTCGAAGCCAACCGCTCTTCCACCACTGCCGCTGCGCAACCTTCACGCGACCCTCCACAAGTGCAACCCTCCAATGCGTCGCAAGACTACGCACACATGGGCCGTGGTGGTGCCGGCAATTGGTACCAGCCCACTGAACTTCAGAAAGAGGGCACCTTCACACAGGCTGCTGACGCAACTGCTATTCCCACATCATCGAAGCCACAGATTAGCAAGCCATGGCATCCAGAAGGCCAGGAACTTCCTGTTGCGAGGAGTGGAAGAGGTGGCGCTGGTAACTTTGTATGGAAAAGCGAGGAAGCAACCAGGGCACAGAGCCAAGATGAAGAGAAGAGAATTGAGGGGTTGAGGAACGAAGTGGAGAGAAGTGTTGAGGCTGGCTTGGCGAAACCCCCTGGCGCACTGCTTGGGAAGGAAACGCAGAAGGGCTGGTGAGCTATGGACTAGTATCCGGTAGAACATGCGCGAAGTCAGTGCAGGGTGATTTTGACATTAACATGGAAAACATTCCATCGCGAAACAACGAAGCTCTGTCTTGTGCGCTGTGCGCCAGTTGCGCCTCACTGCAGCACGTCAACCTAGGAGCCCTGAAGAAACCTGAACATCCTATAGCCTACATTAAGGCTAGCTTACCCACTTCCCATATTTATATCTCAATGTAGTCTGCAGTCTCCCACGTGCCCTCACATCTCGTGGTTCCTCATGACGTCGTTTCCTGTTCGGGACGTTAAGGCCCGTGCGCTTTGTTTATCCATGCTCTAGCCGATATCTTCCCCGTCCCTCCCCACCCACAGGCCAGTCCCAATCTCCGCTCCCTTCGTGTTGCAACCTAGTAGCTGATCCTTCTTGAACATTTCTTGACAAGATGGCGCGTCGATCAGCTCGTCTGCTCAAGGTACGCGCACTTTGCTTTTCTAACGTTTGTTTACATTTACTGATGCGTCTGTTGTAGCGCGAGACTACGCCCTCCGAAGATAGTTGGCACACTGCCTCGTCGCCCAACTTGGGCCTTCCAGACCTTCCAGAATTGCCAGAGCCTGGTATGGCGCGGAAGACGCCCTCGAACGCCTCTGCAGGTCCCAAGGCCCAGTCCAAGTTACCGCAAGCGGCCGCGACACCCACACCTCATAAGAGCAAATCAACCAAGTCGCTCATTGATGACGCCAAGAGCCAAACACCCAAAGATCGCACTCCGATCAAGCCGGCAGGACAGGAGATGCATCCAGCGCATCACCACGCGAGCACAGCCAAGATCCTAGATGAGGCGCGCTGGCTCGGTTTCCAGTCACTGGGTACCGCGCCTTCCAAAGCGACCGGCCTGGCGGGTCAGGCAACGCCCTCGAAGACTCCTGTAGCTGCCTCTTCGATGGCCAATGTTGGGTCATCGCCTGACTTCCGCTTCCGCTTCAAGTCGCCTTTCTCGAAACAAGACGAAGCCACGCTGAGCCCAAGCTCGCGCAACATCCTGAAAGACGCTGGGATCGCAGGCACTCCGGGTGGTGGTAGCCGTGCTCTGTTCGGTACGTTAAAGTGATAGTCAACTCAACCTGTTTTGCTTTTTCTAATCTCTATTTTCATATAGGCACGAGCGAGTGGTCCTCCAAGGTCGACGTGTCTCCCCAGCGCAAGATGGCCGAAGCCAAGGGCAAGATGGCTCGCTTCAGCGACGTACATATGAAGCAGTTCAAGAATATGGACTCCATCGCGAACCATCCGTCAGCTTTCCGCGCCGACCCGACACGATTCAAGCCCGTCGTAGGCCAGTCGCTCAAGAAGTCGCCCTCGAAACCAGAGCTCGCGAACCCGGAGACAAACAAACTCAAGCGTACACAGTCGAAAGCGGATCTGGCGGAGCCGAGCTCGAGTGCCGCTGGTGGTCTAAAGCGCACACAGTCGAAGATGGACCTCGCAGGATCTGGAAGCAAGATTCCCCCAACCCCGTTGAAGCGCACTCAATCCAAGATGGACCTCACCGGATGTGCTCTGCCACGCTCCCAGCCATCAGCTCGCATGGCTCCTCCTGCACGCGATGGACGACCGGCCTCCCGCGACGGCGACGGCGACCGTAACGCGGTAGCTAAGCGTGTCAAGCGCACCGAATCTGACGATGCTGCCACCACCCGCCCTGCTTCTCGCGAAAAGGTGCCCGATGTCCCAGCCCGCGCAGCTGCTACTCCGGCCCGCAAGAAGACATCTCAAACTGCACTTCCTCGTCTAGCTGCGCGATTGATGACGCCTACGAAGTCGTCTATCGCGCGTTCCCAGAGCGTCAAGACTCTGAAGACGACGTCGATGATTCCAACTCTAGGAAAGTCGCCTTCCACGAACAACCTGGGAGCTTCGCCATCTGTCAATCGTAGCTTCGAGTCGTCCTCTGCCCGTAATACCTTCTCTCCTCCTAGCAACATTGGCCATCTGCAGACTTTGAGGGACAATGCACGCGAGAGCATGCGCAAGGTATGTCTATCTATGGGTGCTTTTCCAAGTATCCACTAACATCAGCAGGCAAGCAGCAACTTGCAGCGCGTCCGGTCAATTCTTCGCACGCCAAACCGCAAATTCTCGGACGATCCTAGCAAAGTCGCGGCAGGCACTCACATGTCACCTCCGACCATGAGCCTCGACAAAGCACCGTCCCTGGTTCCTGCTACAGCTCCTGTGAAGAAGCAAGTCAACTTCAGCAGTAGTACTTTGGAGCGCGCGTCGCACGACGAGCTGGGCAAATCACCGTCCCCGATGAAGTTCAGGGCAGGCAGTGAAGTGCCTGCTGGTGCTGTGATCTATCCTAGTCTCGGCTCAGGAGCACACAATGGCCCAGATCTTTCTCAAGAGATTGAAACTCTGACCGCTTCTCCATCTCGTCGCCTCACATTCGGTGGCGAGGCTCCTAATCATCCACGTTCCTTTTCCTTCGAGTCCGGCAACACTGTCAACTTTGGTACGTTGTCTTGCCTCTCATTACTGAAAACTCATTAACTTTTTCAGGCCCTGTATCGACTGGCACGATCCGCATGGTACGTCCGAGCGATGCATCTTCTCTTGTCGACGGCACCAAGCGCAAGCTGGAGACCCTCCAGGAGACATCCGACAAGGAGAACGATGGTCCTAATGACGACGACACGCGCTCCAACAAGAAGATGAAGCGGACACCTGCACCCGCTCCAAAGGCCCCTGCCAGCGCAAGCAAGACAGCTCGCCACACCCCAGGACGTGCGGGTGCTATCAGCAAGTCAAGGCTCGCCTTCCTTGCTACGCCTAAACGAAGCAGGGCGTAAGCTTGCTCGTTTTCGTCGGAGACTGTGATGCTGTTGAGGTGTGTTCGTCACAAGCTGTAGCGAACATGCATCATCCATGATTCGACGGGCATTTGTCCCAGTTTACTCTCCAGTCATTTGCTGGCGTACTTGTCACGATGCTTGTGCATCGCCTCATGACTTACGATACTTCCTTCTTGTCAAATCTTTGTTCTTTCTCACGTCATAATTGGCATCGGGGCGTAACGGTTCTCCAGGCATAACCCTCAAAATCTTTCCTTTTGTTTCTGGATCTTACATGTCCGATGGACACTGATCATTACGAGAACGGTACACATGACCAAGCTTAGCTTGTGTATTATACTGAATCAACGATTGCATGACCACCAAATTTCCAACGAGTGATGAGTGAGTTGTGTACTGCGTCAGCAGGGGCTCCAACAATATGTGTCGTGTTGTAAAGAAATGTTAAGTATTCCATCAAGCTAAAAGTATACGTGATCTTAGATATTATTGACTTACTAAGATATGATAGTGTGGATGCAGCGAAGCCTACTGTTCAGTGACTATTCGTAGGTGGGAGACATGTGCAGTCAAGTGGGTCGATGCGGCACTGGGCGGTCGGAGCTTCCGTACCAGTCGCTCATACTTTTGGCCGATCAACATTGATTCACACCGCCTACAGCCGCCCCCCACTACACAACCAAGGGCTTTTTCTGGCAGCTTACTACGTCATTCGCATACGCGGACTGCTTACGGCCTGCTACACTGGCAGGGCGAGTCTCACACCACCACCGTGGCGTCGCTAAGTAACCTGGTCGACGAATTGAAGAAATCCTTCAACTTCCGCGACTCTCGATCTCTACTAAGCTCCACGACAACTTCTTCGTCAGGCGACACTGAAAACCAACACACGAACG